GCCTGTTCATAGAAGACATCCTATAAATATTTGTTTTAAAAATAGGCTGAAGTAGTTACAAAGGGTATTGGGAATGATATAGAAATTAGCTGGACCTTAAAGTGTGAGAAGATGCTTCATTCTCAAATGCAGGGGGTAATGTTCAAATACTTGGTCAAAGGGTACAAACTTTCAGTTATGAGTAAGTTCTGAGGATCTAATGTGCAGCTTGGTGACTATATTAATGACACTGTACTGCCTTGTACACTTAAAATTTGTTAAAAGCGTAGATCTTAAGTGTTCTCACCGCACGCACAAGAGGTAACTGTGTGAGGCACTGGATGAGCTAATTAACTTGATTGCGAAAAGTATTTTACAATGTATATTTATATCAAATCATCACTTTAAATAAATACAATTTTATTTGTCAATAATACTTCAATAAAGCTGGGAAAAAATAGTACAAGGCAACGATAATAGGAGTTTTTTTAAAAAATAAGTGAAAAAAGAGGGTGCAGGAGCAGGTCCTTAAGGCTCCCTGCTGTGCCAAAAGTTAACTTGTTAGATGCTGGATCTGAGATCCTGGGGGACGGGGAGGGGCTGCAGGAACAGGGCCTTTGGGGAACAGGCTACCTACCTACAAGTACAAACATATTTCGATATTAAAAAAACTGGTATGGTTGCATGGAAGCAGCCGGGCTAAATCTGTGTTCTGAGTAGGAGGGAGCTTGTAAGTCTCCAGAAAGTGGCACTAAGTTACTTGAAATTTCACGGATGATGTGGAGATGACAGACTAGTATGAAGGTAAGATGGACAGAACTAGGGGGAAGATTGCCAAGATGTGGTTCTGCCATTTTCTGGCTGAGATAAGCTTCAGGGACCACGTGTATAACATGAAGAAAATAGTGGTACTGACTCCAAAAGGATCCAATGAGAAAACCATATGCAAAGTGTCCACCACACTGTTTGGTCAGTGGTAGCTATCATTACTGTTGTTGTTACTGCTGCTTTTGTTGTTATCACTAGGAAAAGAACTGGTCAAAAGAACCTGGGCTCTAACTCACTTCTACCATTATCTGTGTGGCCCTGGACAAGTCAACTACTCTGACCAAAATGTTGGTATATGAATGTGTGAATTTTCTGGGGAACAGGGTCATATTTTTATCAGACTCTCAAAGGAGTTTAAATGCAACTCATTTTCACATCCTACATTTACCTTAAGTATCTGGAACCAAATCGTCTCTCCTATAGTAGTATAAATTATACTCATTGTCACCATTCTGTTGCCTTTTATTATAAGATCATCACATTTATTTTGTATTTCCCTCAAAAAAAAAGTTACTTCATTTTTTTAAATGTTGCACTCAATATTATTATTTGAATACAAATCACAATACTCACTATTTTCAAATTTTAAACTTTTATTTCAAATACTTAAACATAAAGTTGTTAACAATAACCATAACATTAATAAGGAATGAAAATATTAAAATATAAAAATAAGTATTGAAACACATATTTTAATTGAAATCATTTGACATGAAAATACAGGTCCTTTGCATCAAATCACCAAATAAAACAATTGCATCCTGGTACCTGAATTTTTCCTAAAGCAAACACAAAAAAAAGAAGAAGAAGAGTCTTGGAAGCCAGTAAACAAACTTTACAATTATTTGTATGAAAATAAAGTGAAGTGCAATTCCACAAAAAGAAAAATCTCACCAAAAACGAATGAGGTATATATTTATGTAGATTACTATGGTTAAATGAAAAAAATAAAATAGGGACAAAATAACTACTCTTATTAAAAAACCTCTTAACATTGAAAGAATAGTACCTCCTCCCACACAATAACTGAAGACACATACATATCTGTAATCAAAAATCACTTGCAGGGCTTCCCTGGTGGCGCAGTGGTTGAGAGTCCATCTGCCAATGCTAGGGGACGCGGGTTCGTGCCCCAGTCCGGGAAGATCCCACATGCCACGGAGCGGCTGGACCTGTGAGCCATGGCCGCTGGGCCTGCGCGTCTGGAGCCTGTGCTCCGCAATGGGAGAGGCCACAGCAGTGAGAGGCCCACGTACCGCAAAAAAAAAAAATCACTTGCATCTAAATGATGATTCATTCTCCCGACCACCACTGGTGCTTACAAACTCTACCTCCTAGCTGTGTGTAATCTGAATTCTGTTTGATCTAATGCGAGACCCACAAGCTCAACCAAAAAAATCTTTATCTTCATCTATATTTTGTGAAAACAAATGGAAGCAAAGCTAAATTTCAGTTCACCTGGAAGGAAAAGACATCTTTTCCTCCTGCTCTTGCTTCTTGGTGCATATTTATTAATCCCAAAGTACTTTTTGGCCTCATACTGACCATTCATCAATTTTCATCAGCCATTATCACTGGTCCCTGCAGTGCACCTCAGTGGGTTGGCAGGAGAACTTGTAGAATCAGGTTTCACGGGAGAAAAATGCATTGCACTTCTCAAGTCTCACTCTATACTTAAAAACAAAACAAAACAAAACAAAAACTCCACTCATTGTGGTGAATTTCCCTAGAGTGTGTGGCTGCATTTACAGTGGGCATTGTCAAAAATAAACCTTGAATATAAAACCAGGGTCTAGTATATTACAATCTCAACAGTGAGGGCAAAAACAACCATAGGCAGCATTTCTACATATTGAAATTCCTGCAGCCAGATGTTCATGGGGTTTGTCAAAATGTGATCTGATTAAGGGATTATTGGGAGGGTTGTGCTATAAATCATGCTGTTACTCACATGCATTCAGAATAGTTCCTAAATGCTAGAAAAGTTGAATTTAATATTGGAAAGTATTTACATTGCCACCAATCGAGTAACAGAGTAGCAGCGGGAAAAAAATCTACAAACCAGCGCCAGCATGCTTCAGGGAGTAAGATGATTACATGAATTTATCTGTTTATTCGTGCAGAGACACGCTGTAAGGATTAAATGGGATGAAGGAAAGTCATGGCTTCAAAGCCCATTTGTTTACAAAATGCAAAACTTAAACATTTTCAAGAAAAAATAAAATTAAAATATGTATATCTTTTTGAAAACTAAATAACAAATGTCTTTGTAATTTATGTATTCTATATATATAAAGCAAGAAAAAAACGCTGTATTTTTTAAATGGAAAAATACCAGGTTCAATCCCTGTAAAAGGACCAAATGCATACCATTTAGGATAATATCACTGATGCACGTTTGACAACCAAATTACAAAGCTCTTTGATATACTCTGTATGAAGAGTGGCAATTAAGACCAATAAAATCAAAGGAAGAAAAAAACTAATTAACACTAACATATCATTATGACTCACTAGCATATAAAATCCCATGCCTGCTCTAAACTGCCAACAATTGGCAATTCCCAAATTTCTAAGGATACAGACAATAGTTTCCCAAAACTGGAGCCACCAGAGGTTTGGGAGGCTCTTGGGAATTTTGGCAATTCTTTCTTCCAGCAAAAGGCCCAAAGCACACCAAGGACTTAAAACCCACCCATCCCTGCCCCCAAGAAATGTAATCCCAAGATTACAAACTATAGTGATTAGTTGTAGATTCTAAATAAATTATATTACTTCCTTATTAAAAAAAGGAAAAAATTTTTTAAAAAGTGGTTAATTTTCGTGGTAGAAACAACGTGGAATTTGGAGACAAAAGGACTGTGTTCAAATTCCAGATCAGGTATGTACTATCCCTGTAACTTTGGGCAAATCATTTAACTCTCCACCAAATGAAAATCATAACCATGCCTACCCCACAGAGTTGTAGTGAGGAAAAATGAGGCAAAATGAATGTGGAAATATTCTAAAAGTGGCAAAAAAAAAAAAAAACCCTCTACAAATATTAACTCTTCCACTGTACCACGAGGAGGCTCCATGTAAACTTAGCAGGTGAGAAAAGTACAAAGATATCCTGCTACAAAAATCTTAATACACTGAAAGTAAGCTGATCGTAATAGAAAAAAATAACACATTGTAAAGGGAAAAACTCCATGAAAAGTGGATTTAGTAAAATTGACCCAGGTTTCAAATGAAGAAAACCTGGCAGAAATTTTCAGCAAGACTGTTTTCCTACAGTAAACAAAACCGATTTTAATAGCCTCTGTGGCTTTGAGATTGTATGGAAAAGCATTTGGAGAATCTAAATTAATTAAAAGTAAAAAATAAAAATCATACCTGGCTACTGATAGCTAAGTAAACATGTATTATCACAAGATTTAGTAACCAACTGCAGCTAACAGTTGTATTCTCCCTTTATAATTGAAAAATCCATGGTACCAGATGATCTCCTAAACGCCAAGAGTTACAACAGAGACATCATTTAAATCCAGAAAAGGACTGATTTTCCAAAAATATTCTGGATGTAGGGTATTTCTGCATAAGTGTACCAAATGACAAAAGGCACCAGGAGCATTGTCAAGGTCATTGTGCCATACAAATGTAAGATATGATTATTAGAGAGATCTGAAAAGCTTTCCCGAATCTTGTAGAATAAGCCAAAATATGTGAAATATATAAAATAAATAATTCTGCAAAAATGATATAGAAAACACACATCTCAATATAGAAAACACATCTCAATATAAACTAGAATAACTGGGGAGGTGGTGGTAGATGGAAACCACAAGTCAAATTCCTTTCCTGCCTTCACTGGCTGTCCTTTGACAACCTTGACTTTGATGTTTACGTCACACGGTCACACATACACGTATCTTTGTTCATCTCTGGTCCCCCGCAGTGACTCCTGTTCTCAGCTATTGAGCTTTCAAATAACTGATTCCTCCTGTTGCTTTTCTGAACTCCCTAAATGGCTCAAGCAATCAGCTCACCAGTTATCCATTCCTGACATGGGTTCAGCATCTGTGGCCTCTCCAACCTACCACCGCTTGGGTGGTGAAGCCCCGTACACAGGAGTGAAGGGTACCAGGAGGTGGTCACCATGCCACCCAGAGGAAAATTTATTTGCAAAATCAACTCATAAGGGGCTGCCCTGCTTAAAATTCCATTGAATTTTGAGATTCCGGAGAGTCCTCTAGGTCTAGTGAGTCCCCTAAGCTTCCCTGGGAGTTTATGGTAAACCCTGAAGTTTTCAATGCATTATGAGCATTCATAAACTTCTGCAGGTATTTGGAGGTATACAACCAGTGATGTTTCAAGACATCTTCCATTTCGTAGCACTTGGACTGCCTGGCATTCATTTTCCGGAAGCGCCTAAACAGTTTGTTGCCAGACTCGTTTCCCTCACTTGCCCAGGCCCCAATGGAGCCATCCCTCTCAATAATTTCAGGGACGTGAGCCAGGGTTTTGTGAAAATAATTGGTGATTTTGCCCTCGTATCTATACTTGAACTTGGTGGAGAGGAGCTCAGCGAAACGCTGTGAATTGAAGCTATACTGGCAGAGGGATTCTGGGCACTCCTTAGCAGGGCATGATGATCGCCAGACGGGTTTCATCTTCAAATAAAGGTCCATTAGTTCCCTCAGAGCTTCGTGCCTCTCCTCGGAGGGAATTAATTCACAAACTGCTTCAACCGTCTCTTTGGTCATGAGCTTCCTGGCAAAGTTGCCATTCATCCTCATGATTGGTTTCAGATTCATCTTCTTCCGGAGGTGCTTGTCCAAGGCAGCCTGCCATCTTTTCCTCTCCTCTTTGGAGGCACTGGGGTTCTTATACACCTCCCCTATCTCCAGCTGGAAAATCTTGTAGAACTCAGCTGCGTTGCCGATGTCGCAGTGGAGTGCATCTATGGAAGGGACCGTCTCAATGAAGGGTTTGGCCGAGACCCCCTTCACCCGGTCCCGCAGTTCCTCCACCGTCTCATGGTATGGGTTGGAACGCCAGACCTCATAGCGTTCCAGATTATCAACGTGGCTTCTGGTGATGGAGTGGAAGACAAGATTTTGAGAGGCTTCCAGGCGGGTGGCATCACAAAGGGTACAAATGTAGACTGAGCCGGAAGCCTCGAGTCCTTCCACTTCCCGGACAAGTTTCTCATCATACCCGGTGCCCCTAAAGATGAACTTGAAAGTCCGGAGGATGCCTCCCATCTCAAGCATTAATCTGCTGCTCTTCATGGCCTCCCTCTCGGCAATGAGAGGGCTCAGGATGGCCGTCAGGGTCTCGTGGTCAGACTCATCTGCCAGCATGAGGCACAAGGGCTTGCAACACAGTTCAGAGTTAGGCTTGGCTTCCTCAAACACCTTCACATTCTGTGACCCGTGAGCGATGGTGATTTTCATGATCGTGAAGGAAAACCGAACTGCCTTCTCCGGAACTGCTGGCCCACTGCCATGCTTCTCACCCACGTCTCCCATCCCATCACAAGACTCCTTCACCACTACGGTGAAGGGGCCATTCAGGTAGTCCTCAAGGTCTTGGTCTCTCATGCCCGCCAGGATGTCTTCTTCCATGTCCATCAGAGCAGACACCAAAGCTGAATCATAGCGGAAGCGCTTGGCGATGGTGTCCACCGGGTAGTCATCCACAGAGGAGGACAGTCCAGACAGTCCATCAATAATGCCCACGTCAGTGCTGGAAGACACGTTCTTCAGAGGTGGCTGCCACTCGAAGGGGTGGTGGCCTGGCAGAAGGACCTTCTCAGCACTCCGAAGGGCGTGCAAAGGCTGGAAGATCTGCCTGCCTGTGATGGCCTTCACAGTCCTGTACATCTTGTGGTACTGGCTGCAGCTGAGGAAGGTGTTGACACGGATGGCCAAGCAAACAGCCGGCTGCAGGCCGGAGCCCCGTCCCTGCATGATGGCCTCCAGCTCGTCGGCTTGTCTGTGCTCATTCCTTGCCCTCAGAGCCAGCAGGAACAAGGTCAGGCACACCGCCTTCACATCTCCACCTTCTTCTTTGTCAGCGAAAGCCTTGACTTGCAGCTTGAGCTCCCTCAGACGGTGTTTCTGAGCCCTCCGGGTCAGGGACAGGAGATGCTGGCGGGGCCGGCCCCCTTTATTAATATGCACGAAAGTCTCTTTCGATTCCTTGTGGCTTGAAACATGGTGGTTATATTTTTCCAAACTGACCTCCTCATTACACTCTTTGGCTGGACATTTCACCATCAGGGAATTCAAGATGCTCAGAAAAGACTTCACTGGACTCTCCAGGTCAGTAGGGAAGCAGGGGTACCGGCAAGAAGGACAATAATTTCCCATGACTTTGAAGCATCTGAGAATGCAGATCCTGCAAAATACATGCTTACAGCTGGTCTCTACAGGGTCCGCCAGAATGTGTTCACAAACCTGGCAGGAGACAGATTTCACAAAGTGCGCCGGGAAGTCCAGTGCCAGGAGCTGGGTACTGAGATGTATCTTACTGCAGTTGGCGATTTTCTTCTTCAGTTCCTTGCTGCTGATCCCGGCCTGGGCTCTCCTCTTGCGCCGACGGACTTCTCGAGCTTGGGCAATCACAGTTCTGAGTTTTTTGCTGAGCTGCGCGCTTGGCTGATGACCCTTCCTCTTGAGTCCCTGACGGGCAATGTGGCAGATGTCACAGGGTGTTGTGTGGGAGGACCACTCCATGGTTGCATTCCTTGGGGAGTAAGCCTCACACGGGGCACTGCTAAACCTCCTGTGCATGAAGATCCAGCAGTTATGGCAGAACTCAGTGGGATGAATCGAGTCCACATCAGCCTTCACATCGATCCGGAAAACCTTGGCAATGAGGTCTGGCCAGGACGTGGCCCTCTTTTCCTTCTTTCGTAAAAGGACTTGGGTTTTACCATCCACAGGCCCATGGACTGGGTATCTCCTATTGTGCCCATCGGCTTTGAAAGGATTCCCGCAGATGCGGCAGAGATGTTGCAGGTTGGCTTGGTGCATGGCTTTGTCTCTTGCTTTCCTGTCATCATGGGATTTCTTCAGAAACTTTGGGTGGGGCTTCAATGCCAGTTGAGTCAGAGCTGATTTCTGACCACCAGGCGTGTCCAGGACTGCTGGAGATTGCTCTAGAGAGGGTTTCCCTTCGGAGGAATCTTGCTTTTCCCCTTGGGCATTTTCAGGTGCCTTTTCAAAGGATCTCACCCTGAATAGCTTAAATTTCCAATCTGAAAATTTAATATGTGGGTGCTGGAGTTCGTCTGGGGCGGAACTGAGTCCCAGGGTGGGTGGCAAAGAGACAGCCATGCTGACTGAGGTACCTGGAAACAATAAAAACAAGTCAGATTAGGAAAAAATTTCAATATCTCACTGATGTGCATTGGAAGGAATACAAATGAGTACATTCAATTATTCACTTATTAAATCATCCAAAAAGATAATTATTAAACCTCCTATTTTAATATACTATGTTAGGTGCTGATCATATAGCGGAGAGAGAGTCATTCCCTGTTCTGACAGGGCTGATGGTCATTTATACCATGTATCTAATTACATGCAACACTATGGTTTATTTCACATATATATGTACAAACTTATTTTTTTAACTTATTATTTTTTGTTGAGGTATAGTTGATGTACACTATTATATATGTACAATATTATTTCCCTTCCGGTGAAATCTTAAGGTCTTTGAGGACAGAATCCTTGAGTGATTTATCTCTGTCTCCCCAAGTTTCCTAGCACACATTATGTGCTCAATAGTTATTTGCTGAATAAATGCAAGGAAAAGCTGTCTACTAAACCAAAGAAAAGTCATATTTTCTGCATTGTATCAGTCTCATTGCATTAGCTGGACAATATATTTCCAGCTTTTTAAAGCTGTCTCCCGGGAGGTTGGTTGTTGATTTCTTCCAAATGGAACATAAAGGGATGATAAAGCTACAAATCCAAAGAAACTAATTACTCAGGACGTGAAAGGATGAAGTGAATTTTGAGCTTTATGAATGCACGCTAATAATAAGTATCATGGATAGTAATTATGCTTACAATTTTAATTAGCGAACGCTGCTGTAAATTATAAGCTTGTTTCTCCATCAGGAATAAAACCCACAGAACTCTCTAAACCTGCAACAAACCACAGTGTGCATGTACAAAGATTCTGAAGAATTTTAAGATGAAAATTTCAAGTATTTTCAGATAAAATTACACAGGCCATCCTGAAAGTCATTACGGGGCACTGGTCATTAGCTCTATAGTTTGTAATAAGAAGAGGTGGGAGTAATATTTTTCTTCTTTGAAAAACATTAGCAATTATACATTCCAGGAAACCTTAGCAATCTGGCTTGTGGTGTAGACATCATGGAGCAGCAGAAAAAAGTCTCAAAATGCCATTTGAGTGTCTCTAGACCCAATTAGCCCAATATTCTCAAAATTCTTCAGTACACATAACTGAGAAAACAGCAACTGTATTTTCAGACTATCATCTATATTTCTCATATTTGCCTGGGTTAATGCTCTTGACCTGCCAATTTTATCAAACAAGGTTTCCCCCTTGATTAACTAACTAACCAAACTGATGATAATTTTTCTAGTCATGTGATCGTGGAGACTAATCCTCAGATGAACACACTTTGCCCAGAGGTCGGATTTGGAGGTAGGGGTGGGAGAGGAAGCCACAAGGGTTGTCCTGACAGCTGCTAACAAAGCTTCCTGTCAGATTGCCCCTTTAAACCACTGAATTTTGTTGCATCTTGCATGCGTTATGCTTCAGAGGTTTATGTTTTTCATAAAAACTAAAAGCCAACTTCCAGTCTTTGTTGAAAAGGAAATCCTGTTACCTTGTTCTATATGCAGACCTGTGTGAGAACCAAACAGTTCCAAACCATTTCAAAGGTCTCATTAACATCAGAAGTATTCAATATTTCATCTGCAGCCCAACCAACACCTCAGAGCTGTTTACAGTTCTATTATGTTCCTAAATTCTGTCCTGGGTCAGGGCCGAGGACTTTCCGTGTCCCCTGCCCTCTGCCCTATTGCTTTGAACTCATTCCCAAGTGTCTTTTTTATTTCTTTAGGCTTTCCCTTCCCTGTCTTTTTCTGCACTAGTTCTCTGGAATTCCAAGATAATATTTTGAGTTCTTCTTTAAAAAAAAAAATGCATGCATGACCCTCTTTACAGCTACTCAAGTGAAATACTGAACTTTCACAATGAGTAAGTCAACCACAAGGCATGTTGGAAGGCTCCCTAGAACTCTCTCCCCTCCCTACCCACCCTCTCCTGACTGGCATTGGCCTGAAATGTTGGGTCAAAATCTGCCAAAATACATTTGTGTAACTACTCCCATGGAAAGAGTACCATCACCAAGCAGTTATTAGCCATTGACATCCAGATCAAATTTATTTATTAGATTGTTTTTCTACTTAATTGCTAAAAGTTTATCCAAACTAGAAGTAAGAGGGAGTGGGAGAAATGTGTTATTCTTCTTATTTTTAGGGGAACATACACCAAGATGCTAATAGTGGTGATCTGTGAAAGCTATAGATGTTTTATATTTTTTATCTTTATCTATGATTTTTACTTCCTCTGAAATAAACTTATATTACTTTTAGAAGATAGAACTTTTAATAACTAGTTCTAATAAGGTATCGTTTGTCTATCTGATTAGCAAAAATTAAAAATATTGATATTAATCAGCATTAATATAGGCATGGGGATTGCAGATATCTTCATACAGTCTTGGGAGAAGTGTAAATTGGTATAATATTTCTAGTGGAAATGTGGCAATGTCTTTAAATTTTTTTAATATATATTATCTTTTGTGCAATAAATTTCCTTTTAGAAATTATCCTATAGAAACATTCCCACAGGTTATTCCCACAGTGATATTTATATGGAGAGAGACAGAGAGAGAGAGAAAGAAAAAAATTAAAAATCTGTTTAAAAGATCTGTTTGTTACTTTGAAAAATAGAAAACAGCATAAATAATCACCAATAGGGCATTATTAAATAAACTCTGGTTCAGATATACAATGGAAAACAACACAGAAATTTTAAATTTCTATATGCATTGATACATATGTGCAATTTCTATATACGTCAAGATACAAAGAGATGCCCACGTGACAAAGCAGAGAGCAGAAGAACAATAGCAAGTATAGTAAGACTTCATTTATGCATGTTTGTATATATCTGAAAATACAGAAAATCTGGAAGGATATGCACTAAAACCTTAACAATGTTAACTCTCTAGAAAATAGAATTGGCACTGGTAAGGAGATCTCTAATTTTCTATTTAATTCATTTTTATATCATTAGAATGTTTCACAACAAATACAGATTATTTTTTTAATTTTTGTGATATATTCACTTTAGGGAAAAAATGTTGTAAAGGCTAGATTTCTATGTACCCATAGTCCCTTTTCCATATTTCTTCCTAAATTTCCACCCAGAAAAGTTTAAGATTTGGCTAAGACTCAAATCTGACCACCATTCTTAGCTTATCTTTCTTTTCTGGTAAACATGTTGAAAGGGGACTGAAATATGGACCTGCAGACAACATGAAGTTAGGACTATGAAAGAGCTATCTTGTCAGTCATGGATTTTTTTGTTTTTGACACTCAGGAATCTTGCAGATGCTTGATCTCCTCTCTTCTAACAAAAGGTCTCAGCAGTGGACCAGCCTCAGGCTCTACAAGGCGGGGTGGTTGTTGCTGGCTCAGCCCTGTTCCCATGGGCTCTGCCCTCTCAGCACTGCCATCACCTGCTATCACAGCTACAGGGCTCCTTTTCCCCACAGGGCGTGGATTCATTTTGACAAGCCGGTCTGGGGTGGCTTGGCTGGGGCAGAAGTGTCATTTTTATGAGTGCATCCTTAGTTATTTCTGGAGGTAGAACCACAGCAGCACCACCCGTGACTCCCAACCCAGCCCTACACACACACGCCCTACACACACACACCCTACACACACACACCCTACACACACACAGACCCTACACACTCAGACCCTACACGCACAGACCATACACACTCAGACCCTACACACACACAGACCCTACACACACACACCCTACACACACACACCCTACACACTCAGACCCTACACACACACACCCTACACACATACAGACCCTACACACTCAGACCCTACACGCACAGACCATACACACTCAGACCCTACACACACACACCCTACACACACACACCCTACACACACAAACGTACTGGTACTTGGTCCATAATCTCTCCTCTTAACATCTTCAACTTGGTCCGTATACAATGTTCAAGTGACTACTGTGTGGCCCAGAGTTACCCCTTATTGTCACTGTCCCACTCATTTATTCGTTCATTCACTCCACAAATACTATGGTCTACTATTTGCCAAACACCAGCATCAAAAAGCCGAAAGCATCAAAAGACTTTTTATGTCTCAGGCATCCACAAAATGACCTGAAGATTCTGGTTCTTCCTCCAGGCAACATCTTGCCTGAACCACTTCAGAAAGAGAAGTGCACTGTCACAGCCCATGTTCAGGAATCCCATTCAAGAACGTAACCTCTGTGTAGGGTCTCTCCAGTGGCAGTTCTCAAAATTGCCATGTAACAGAATCACTAGGGAGCTTGTGTTTAAAAAAAATATCATCAGGTCCCAGCAAGTCTGATTCTCCATCTGGGATGGAGTCCAGAAATCATATTTTTTAACAAGTATTTCAGTGATCCTGCTACTAGGGGCCCACAGGTCATGCTTGGAGAAATCCTGGTCTTCTGCTTAGTCCGATCTAGTTCAGGAAATTCCTGGCAGTACTTGGCAAATACCTGAGCAAGTATACATTTCCTCCAACCCCAGAATTTGTTTGCTCCTGATTATTTTTCTTGCCTGGACCAGCACGGTATTTTTTTCCAAGCACCTCACACCTTTCCTTCTGCTGATTCATTTTACAAGTCCATCCAAGAAGCACTCCTTAGGGAATTCCCTGGCAGTCCACTAGTTAGTACTCTGAGCTTCCGCGCCGGGGGCCCACATTCGATCCCTGGTCAGGGAACTAATATCCCTGGGTGTGGTGTGGACAAAGAAAAAAGGCACTCCTTAAACGCTTCCTTTGCCTGCAGCATTCATTTACAGTAATTCAGATATTTTGCATCTTCTCTATGAACCTACAGTGTCTTCCTCAACTTGGTTTTTTGTTCCTTTCCTATTTTCATAGATTAGAGAGAAAAACCAAATGTACGTCAGCTTCCCTTGCTCCCTCCTCTCATTCCCTGCAAGGGAAAAAGCCCAAGTACTTCTAAGTAGAAACATAAAAATGTA